AATTCTAACTTTTCTTACGAGTTATTTCTTAAAAATATACTTGATGTTAAACTTTTTCATAAAAAAGGAATCTCCAAAATCAGTGCAATTTATGGAGGTATACACAAAAACAAACATACACAAAAGAATCATCAGAATTAATTAATCTTCTTTTTAAATTAGATCGAAATACTTACGCGACCATATAAAATTAGTGTAATGTATTTATAGAATAATCATTTGAGTATAAACATTTTTGACGGACATGATGTCAAACAAAACTGGTAAACACATCACATTCTTTCAAATGACGTGGATTTGAATCCATTATTCCTTAGAATAATTGCTTAGGTGTTTTAATTTACAATCCTGTTTTGTCAGTAGACTAATCTATAATACATATAATAAAATTGTAACTGATACGCATACGTAAATTAAAATTTTTTTTGAAAAAAATTATTGAAACAGTCATTAGTATCGAGTCATTATTGTCGATACAGAGGTCGAATCTATAGAATAGAATCAAGAATCTATAGAATTTTTGTCTATCTGTCTGGGAACTCATCACGAGAAATCCCTGGACAGATTTTTATGAAATTTGGTATGATGATAGCTTTAGGTTGGCTGAGTCAACATATAGGATATTTTTACTGCGGGAAAATATCTTATCTCTGACAAATCTATATTAACTATTAAAATGTACCTAGGGACGAATCCGAGCAGAGCGAGGGTGAGTCGCTAGTTTCCAATAAAATTGCTCAGGAAACTTAGATAAAAAATAGTAATTGCTCATAAAGTATCTCTGTAAAAAAGTTGCTAAGTTGCTGCGTATGAAGCGGACATACCAACAAACAAGTTTTTCTATTTAGTATAATATAATATTAGTAATGATTTAACGTCTTGTAACATTTTTATACAAATGGATTTGAAGTAAATTCTTTTGTGTGAGAAAATAACGCACAAAAACCGTTTAATCTTAATTTATAAACTTTGAATGGCGTCGTCAATCATTCATGAAGACAATTTGAGTCAATTATTTTTTTACTAAACGTAAATGATTTCTTTGTTAAATTTCATATTATTTCGACAAACGCTAGCTATTTACGTAGAAATATGATACTAATATCAATTTTAAATCATGAGTTAAAAAAATGTATACCTAATACCTAGAAAAACAAAAACCCTACTGAGTAGAAAAAGAACTAAAGAGATGGACACAAGTTGACGTGTGAATGTGGGTCATATAATATGTTATTAGTAGTTAGTATAGTCTTGCACAAGGTTTCTTTGATGTAAGCAATTCATTAATTTTTTATTTTTGGAATATTGAAAGTAAAAAAATAATTGGAAATTAAATTCACTATGTTATAAACACACTTATCACATTGTAACTGGCCTCCCAAAAGGTGGACCGACGACTTTGAAGTCGCTGGAACATACCGGATGCGAATGGCACAAGACCGGCAGTCGTGGAAGTCTTTGGAGGAGGTATAAGTCCACAGATTTTATTTATTCATGTAAAATTTAAGTGGAGTTATCTACTTTTTACTGAAGTTCATTCTATGTAATTGAATCTATGGAAAAAACGATACGTTTGGCTCAGTTTGTAGTGACCGTACTTGCTGTGCCAGTGGTCGCGGGTTTGAGTCACACTGGGGGTATTCATTTGTGTGATGAGCACAAATGTTTGTACTCAAGTCATGGGTGTTTATATTTATAATATGTATGTATTTAAAATTATATATGTGTAGTGTATCAACTGTCTGGTATCCATAACACAAGCCTCGTAGTCGACCATGAAACTAGATGGTGCTGTGTGTTAATGTACCCACATATTTATATAAACTAGTATGCTATAAAATCTTCCCTACACTTGTTAATATAGGTAATCAATGTAATCTCAGTACTATTATAAATACAAAAGTTTGTAAGTCTGTTTATGTTTTTACCTCCTTCACGCTGAACCGCCTGTACATATCTGGATGATGTTTTGTGCACAGATAGACTGACTGGAGTAAAGTATGCTACTGTTAGTAATAATATATGCCAAAAGGCAGAGCTACATGTACATAATATTAGCAGGTATGCCCCGCCGTTTCACCCGCGTTAAATTTGTTTGATTATAAACATCACTTTTACAATAATGTGTGGAAGTCTGCCCGATTTGTTGACATTTATTATTACTGCTCCGCTCTTTTAGATAGTAGCATGATAAAATATAGCCTACAGGTTTTATCAATAAACGGGCTATCTAAGGCAAAAATAATTTTTCAAATCGGATTAGTAGTTCCTGAGATTAGCGCACTTAAACAAACAAACAAACACACAGACAGATAGACAGAAGGATGGACGGATGGACAGACAAATAGACAAACAAACAAACTCTGCCTCTTTATAATATTATAGTAGTATAGATAAATACAAAACGCACCTAAGGCACGTACCCGAGTGAAACGAGAATTAAGCCGCTAGTATAATAGATATTATATTAACTGAAAGCGTTACTATATACCTTTGTAATATTATTTACTGTTTCAATAATAAATAAAAAATGAATAGAAATATGACCCTTATGTGTGAGAAACAAAGGAGATTTTCCCATCAAAATACTATGCCAAAGTCCGCGTTTAACAGTTTTGTGATATCTTAGGATTTGAATAGAAGTGTCATAAAGAGTAAATGCGAAATTAAACTTTTCTTTATTTATTCACGAATAAAGGAATATTTTTCTGGAATCGATAAGATAATTGGCACTCTCAATTGACTGAGTGCCAAAATCAGTCATATTTTTCCAATATATACATATAGACAGCAGCGCTACCTACCGTGTACAATTGTGAATCTAAACCATTCCCAGATCCCCTTGAACACACACAAAAAATTTCATCAAAATCGGTCCAGTCGTTTGAGAGAAGTTCAGTGACATACACACTCACAGAATAATTATATATATAAAGAAGATAAAGATTTTAGGTCCCTTGTATGGTTGTTTGTTTGCTTGGTATATGTACGTGAGTTTTTATTTCACTAATATAGAATGTCCATGTTATTAATAGTTTTTTGACAGCTCGACGGCTGACAAGTTATGGTGATGTCCTAAAAGACGTAATAATCGATATCGGTTATTTTTTTTTTGAAAAAAATATAATATAATATTTATATTCATATTTATTAATATGAAAATAAAAATTATAATCGTAAAAAATATATATACGTAAACTAGCAACTCACGCGACTGTCCGTCCGGCCGCCATTTTGACGTAGTCTGTCACTCGTTTGTCTTTTTTCTTCTCTGTTTCAACCTTCAAATTTTGTTGTCTTCCTGATTAAATATCATATTACACCTTATTTACATATTAGCATTTATTTCTACCGATTATTTGTAATCTGTGGCCACAATCGTATTAATCGTTACGTGTTGCACATCAATAAGGGGGCGGTACCCGTCCATGAAGTACTATAATATTTTTATGAAATTTTAACTTAAACAATACGAAACTTCATGGGCGTGAGCTGTCAAAAAACTATTAATAAAATGGACAAACTATAGCGACTTCCTCTCGCTTTGGGGTGCATCTCTAGGTACTCGGTTTAGTACACAATTTCAAGCATCTTAATTTTTTTGCGCGGAAACCTAATTCTTTTTCCAAAATAAAAGTAGCCTAAGTTCTGCTCCTTATAACATCGTCTCCAGCTGTTTGGGAGATTAACCGGAACAAACAGATAGACAAAAAACTTTAAAAAAATGTTTGTTTTTATTAGAACCATTATTTATTTTTATTGTGTAGATAATCTTCATAAATGACGTCACAAGCTTCGTAGCTTCCTATTTTTAATTTATTTGTATGGAATGTGTACTAGTGACCTAAATTATCGGCAGTCAAGCACGTAGCTTATTAAAAATTAAATTGTAAATTATATTACAACTAGATATAAAGCATTTTTATTATTCTTTGTTCTAAGGTTCATATATTCGTAACTTAGATGAAAGCAGTTTACCAACAGAATATTGTAAAAGTTTCTAACCGTAGTTTACAAGGTTTTATGTACACTTTTATTTCTTGAGTCAGCTGAATTGGGTTAAATGTTATTGAATTTATATATTTAGAGAGTGTCATTATTTCTAAAAATAACTTTATATCTAAACTAGTGACTTCCTTGCTTCGCTTAGGTAAGTTCCTAGGCTAAACAGTAGCGTACATATGTATGAGTTATTCATATGAATCCGTCCAGCATACACACACACACACAGAGACATATATATATATATATATATATATAATTATGGTAAAATAGTTACATATACTTATACATACTACATATACGAGTATAAATCAATCAAAATGCACATGACAGTAGAGTGTTCGGTCAAGCTCCCTATTTATCATTTAACAAACTAGTATATTATGTAACCATGTTATTTTCTATGCGAACTTATATCTACATAGTTATACCGAAAATATCTTTGAATCTATCTAAATGTTTACGTTTTTTGTTTCAGGTACTAAAGACCACCAAATCAGAAATCAAACCCATACAATTCAAATTAATGGCGTCAATCATAAATAACTATGACGAATAAATAAAAAAGAACAATGTGAGGGGACGATCAGAAACATGTTCGCGAAAACCGATCGATTTTGGGACCGAAGAAAGTATAAAATTGCGCGATGACGTCACGATATTTTAACGGGTGTATAAAATAAATAACTTCGCTTCACTTTAAAAATAGGTGCTTTTTTGTGTGTTGCATCGTAACGAGAGTGTGGTTATCGTTAATTTGCTAAATTAATTTCGTTATTTCCGTTAATTTTCCGTTATATGTCCGTAAAAGCAATAATAGTTAAGTCGTTGTAAATAAATAATTCGGTGTCAAGTGTAACACGATATGCTTGATGGCATACGGGTATTAGTTAATAGTAATAAATCCGTTCCTATAGGCAATACACGATACCGATTCTAAAGACGGGGCCAAACTGTAGAACTCCAATACAATAGCTATTAAATTAGAGGCGAATAAGATGGTACCGAACGCAACTTTGAGAACCACAATGAGTACATTCAACCAGAGCCTTGGTCTGAATTCGACGATTCTCGTACCAACGTATATGAGTCAAGAGGAGTTCTTGGCTTTGCAAATGACGAATGCTTCAGATGCAAACACAACGCTAAATGATACAAATTTCAGCCAAGTTGTATTAAAAACTTGGTACCCTAGTGGATATTCTCCTGCTCATATAATAATTGCTTCAGTAGTCGTAACAGTTTTAATGATAATGGTAGTGGTTGGCAACATGTTGGTCATAATAGCGATAGTTACTGAGAAAGCTCTGAAGAATATACAAAACTGGTTCATTGCGTCGTTAGCAGTGTCAGACTTTTTCCTAGGCTTAGTGATCATGCCGTTCTCGTTGGCGAACGAGTTAATGGGTTATTGGATTTTTGGATTTTGGTGGTGTGAAATACACTCTGCAATGGACGTGTTGTTGTGTACGGCGTCGATTATGAACCTGTGCCTCATATCGCTGGACCGTTATTGGAGCATAACGCAGGTGGGTGAATTCATTTTTTAATTGGACGCAGTTTTAATTCTTACGTTTTTCTGTTATAAAATTGTATTTTATTTGGTAAAAAGAATTATATTTATCGAGTATAAGGAAAATAAGGTTTTAGTTAGTTTTTTTATAAAATATCTTTTACTTTATAAAATTTGCTCTCTTACCAAATTGAAAATAAACTCAAATAACTCATATTGGAACAGCAAGTAAATTAAATATCTCATGCTCAAAAATAATTTAAAATATAGACCGCAAACCCAAATAGAACTAAAAGTCCATTTGACTTTAAAAGCCAAATACGTATTTCAAAACCGAGCCGGTATTGACTGCTTCCGAAAACCTGTGCCTGCGAGTAGGTAAACCTGTTGGCACAGTGTTGGTGTATCGAGCTAGCCTCCATTATTCATAGTCGAGCAGAACTTGGCAGTTTCAGTCATTGAATTAAATATTCGGACAGATTGCGATGGATACCTAAAAGTACATGGAGTTTCAAAGTTTGCGATGTAAATATTCAAAATGATTATCATGTCTTATATCTTCTTGGATCCCTTCATAGTAGTATCATAATATTTACTTATATCCTATCTCTATATGGAAATAAGGATTGTGGTTTGAATTCGTAGTTCAATTTTATGTAACATTTAAGTTTAATCAATTATTTTGCTGGCAATAACAATGTAATATGGTATATTTTTTAACAATAGCAGCAATTAATTACGGTGATGCAGCATATTCGGTTTTTGGTTGGAAAAATATTTGTAATAGTCATGTTTTATAATTTGAAATATTTAAAAAATATATATCTTTTGGTAGTTTTAAAATATGTTTGAAAATATCTTATTTAAGTTTGGACATTTCAACTACTTCTGTTCACTTCTAGGTCAATAGAGTTTCGTCTGGTCTTACAAAGCAAGTAGTCCACATCCCGCGGGAACTTAATAATGCAGATACAATTCCTTACAATAATGAGAGGTTAAAACTTTATACACTAACGTTTCTGGAACAAATAAATTAATCAAATTTAGAAGATAAAGATATAATTTGAAGTATAACTTATACCAATTTTACGCTATTATAAGGAGTTAAATCATCTTTTTGTTTGAAGAAATTACTAAATTTGTTTTAAATTCTATAAATTACGTTAGAATCGTAGAAAGTGTTCATAAAGCTAGATTTAATCATTATTATCTAATTAACATGGGAAGATTATAATACTACTAGTATTGCCCGCGGCTCCGCCCGCGTTCAGAAGACCAAAAATCAAATTCTTACGTTTTACATATTAGTATACTTACATTGCAGTTTTTGTATTTTTTCTCAAAAATGAGTCATTTTCGCGCGGTAACAAGTATCCCATATGTTGACCCGGATAACCAGCTATCACCATACTAAATTTAATCAAAATCCCTTCAGTGGTTTTTCTGTGATGCGGTAACAGACAGACAGACAGACAAAAAGTCTAAAAACAATAGACTCGGCCTCTGTATCGATAATAATGTTTATTTCAATAAGATTTTCCAAAAAACAGATTCGGCTTAGTTACAATTTTAATTATATGTAAAGATAGAAGATGCTATAAAACAGAGTATGTGTGATCGCTTCAAGACTTTAAATGAAAATTGTCACGTAACATGTAAAAGCCTCGCTGAGTTTTTTCGCTTTTTCTTTCAGAGCTGTCGAAATTGGCAATGAAATGATTACGTTCAGTAAACAAGTATCATACTTTCGTGTCTAGTAAAAAAATTACTTTGATTTCTTTATTATCTACAATCATAAAAGTTTAAGGTACTATGATATAGGTCTTTATTTGCCAGTAATGGTCGTGGTCGAAATTTGACCTTAATTATTAATAACAATCTGTTTATAAATATTATAAATGTGAAAGTTTGTGAGTATCGATGTTTGTTACTCTTTCACACCAGAACGGCTTAATTTATCTGGATGAAATTTGGCACAGAGATAGATTATAGTCTGGAATAACACATAAGCTACTTTTTATCTCGGGAAATATACGGTTTCCAAGGGATAGATTTCAATTTATTTTTCTAGAAGCTAACCCGACCTAATATTACTAAACTACTAAACCTAAAAAACAGAAAACCGGTTGAAAAAATAGAGTAGCAAAATGTATTGAACTGTCTAGTCTAGGCATCGATCAAAAAACTACTAGGTACAGAATTAGCAATAAAAAATGTCCTCACCGAATGATCGCTCATTTGAACATTTGAGCGCGCTTTTCATATTTTTGTATATTTAATTCAAGTAGAATAATTACTAAATAAAACTATCTTTTCGGATTATTTCGTGGATTTATTTTGATTTTTGGTTCCCGACGTTTCGAATGCTTTACAGCATCCATGGTCACGGGAGAGACTGTCAGTCTCTCCCGTGAAATGAAAAATAAATCCGCGAAATAATCCGAAAAGATAGTTTTATTTAATAATGTCAAACATTCGCGTAAATCTAAGAAAGTATTATAGAATAATTACCGAAACACAATTGGTGATAGTTATAAGAAATTTTTTGGATAGGATTGTATCTAGTACTTTTTTAGAGGTGCCTCGGTCTATTTATATACATATATAGATGTCAGACCATTATTATTTACTGAAGAAATAAAACTCCAATTGTTAAGCAGTTAATCTAAAACGACTAGAATTCCATCACAGCTTTCCGAATAATACTTGAATTGTGAACGTGCATGGGAAATGTTTGCTGAAAATTCTCCATATACATTGAAATACGAGCCGGTGTAAACCTTTTGATTTCCATCGACAAGCCCAGCCAACTTGTAATTTTGCTATGACAGATGTTTTTCATGAATCTCAATACGATATTACGTTCAGTCGAATGTACTTTACTACTACTATGACTAACTGTAATATATTTACTAAAATTAGGACTAATATTTTATATTCGAAAAAATATGTGTGTATAAATGTTTGTTACTCCTTTACGTCGAAACGGCTAGGCAGATTTGGATGAAATTTAGTACACAAATACTACAAGAGATACTAGTGGTTTCTGCGAAATAAACTACTTATATATAATATAATTCAATCATTTTTATATAAAAATGCATGTAAAGCAGCGAGTCAAAGAAGTATAAATAAGCTGGCACGTTGTTAATTTGCAAAGGAATTTTATTTATCGTGATATCGCACTGTCGTTTCAAGATCACGTTACAGCTCTCAAAGCATATTTAATTACGTTAAAAATGCGTTAAAAGCACCTACCTTTTTAATTATTTTTTATGTGTGTTGCATTTCCAGTAAAAAAAAATTGATTTATTTTATATTCACGATTCGAACCGGGTTTCCTCATTTTTATTTTATTACTAGCAACTCACTCTCGCTTCGCTTGAGTTCATCCCTAGGTGATTCTTTAAATTGACAAAACTTTTTTATTTATGAACATGAAATTATTAAAGGTGTGAGGTCCAGGATTTTATGATACAACCACATTAAATACATATATTTATAATCCGTATGTAATTAAAGTTATACACGTATGTACGTGTAGTGTATCAATTATCTAGTATCCATAACACAAGCCTCGTAGCTTACCATGGAACTAGATAGTGTTGTGTGTTAATGTCCCAACATATTATTAAAAAAAAACATTTGCTATACTAAATTATTTAATTAATTTAGTATATGATTTCAATAAAACACTATTCATTCACCATACACGTAATAAAATGCCGGATGCAAAGACTTATTTGTTCTTTAACAAAAGAGCTCGCACGCAATTTATCGTCTTCCTCACAGTAAATCACGCTAGTAGCATGGTTTTTTGAAAACCCATTAATTACTATTTACTCAATTGTCATTACCAAATTAAATAAAATTATTAGTTCAATAATAATCTATACATATAATAAAATTGTAACTGATCGCTGTCTGTACATGAAAGGTATTTGAGTAAAAATATTATTGGGAGTCTTTATTAACGCAATAGAACACAAAACAATGATTTTTAGAATTTTAGTATGTTTGTCTGAGCGTTTGTGCGCGCTAATCTCAGAAACGGCTTAACCGATTTAGGTGCAGTTTTCACAAATGTATTTTTGTAAGTTTCACTTAACATTTAGTATTTATTTCAATCGGTACATAAATAAAAAACTTTTGTCAATTTAAATACCTACCTTATAGACCTAGGAACGACCCCAAGCGAAGCGAGGGTGAGTCGCTAGTAAAATAATAAATTTCATAGTATATTTGTCGGTATATCCGAAACAAAGGAACAATGGAGCAACGTGTTTAAGTGATTTTTAATGAATCCATACTAATATTATAAATGTGAAAGTGTGTTTGTTTGTTTGTCTTTCTTTCACGTCGAAATGACTTGGCGGATTGGCGTGATTTTTTGTGTGGAGATAGTTGTAGGGCTGGAGAATGACATAGGCCATTTTTTACCGCGGGAGATTATCTCATTCTCCGGAGGAATACGTTATAATACAATCCAAAAAAATATTTATGATCAGAATTACTTGAAATTTGGTATTAATGTTCTTCAATACAATTAATTAAATACGTATTCAAGCATTTTTCGAAATTCATCTCAGGGGGGAGTAAAATAGGGGATGAAAGTTTGTATGAAAACTACCCTTTAGAGTTTTTTTTGTAGTTTTATAGTTCCGCTAGTACAGGTAGTACTGTATAATATATAGGCTAGTATAAACCGTTAAAATGTACCCGAATGAAGCGAGTATGAGTCGCGAGTCGCTAGTAAAAATTGATTATAAAATCGATTCGCAATTGGTGAGGTTATCGGGTAACGTAATCGAGTAACACACAAATACACTCAAATTAATTTAATGCTAAATTATTAGTGGCTTTCTTGTCTATTATATATCTATTAATTTACTTGTTTACGTATGGAGATGTAGAGTTCATACATACTTTTATATCTTTTGTGGCAGGGAAGGATTTAGCCTTAGCGCCGCCCCTGGACATAGTAAAAAATGCCGCCCTATTATCGAAATTTTGAATAAAATATTGAATTATTATCATTATTTTTAAATGGAAAAAAAATTATAAATGATTTCAATTATTTTAAAAATGTACTATTTTTTTTAAATATTCATTTTTTGGAAAATAAAAAAGATAACGCGAAGAAAACAACTTTTCCCACCCTCCGAATTTCGCCGCCCCAAAAAATTTGCCGCCCTGGGCACTAGCCCCGAGTGCCCGTAGTGTAAATCCAGCGCTGCTTTGTGGTATAAATACATTTCTGTTAATACAAAGTTATCGATTAAAAATCTAGACGTAGTCAAATAATTGTACAGTACGATTTAAAAGATAGAAATTAAATAGAATCATAGTTTGATTGCGCCAGGAGGTTATACGAGAATGTAGCGTTCCGCTAACGATGTCACTAATCATCAAGTTTTATGTAGCCAAGTCATAGGTGGAAGCGATTTAATTATTTATATATCGTTTTAATATGTAATTGAAATGATTATATAAAATTATATTTTACCAATTTTACTTTTGGCATAGAGGCAGTCGTAGTCCAGTGGTAACTTGCTTGGGAAACCTAGTGGAACTGGTTCAAATCCCGGGTCTGGCTCTGATATTTTTACGTTCAGAAATAATATTTATAATTTATATTAAAATGTATTGGAAACAACATGCTTTTTATTTATAGATTTAAAATATCAAAAAAGTAGTTATTAAACTTATCAAGGTTAAGCCTACATAATTTTCGCTTATGTTTTACACCCTACAGCCATATTCGCGTGAACGGCGTTCATCAAACGACGCATTTTGTCGTTAAAATGCTGACAGTTCGTGAAGGTTAATTTGCATTGATTTCTTACTATCATATAGCTGTAATTACGCTTATTTGCTATTTTTGCAAATAAATTATTTGCATAAATGATATTATTATAACTATAATGTCATATAATACACTTGTTAGGATTTTTTTTCAGGTACAGTGTTCGTCGTCGTTTAGTTAGTTTAGTTCAAGTAAGTGGGCCGTGGTTAAGAGATAGCTCATGCTGTT